GGTGGTTTAATACAGTCCTTTTTCAACAAGAGCCTATCTCTACAACTGTATAGATGGCAATAAGAGCATGAACAACAACACTTGTTTTTGAATATAATTCATTGAGTAAATATAGTTCTTTAAGCACTTTGTTGGACTGGCCTGGCTGCTCTTCCAGTCACGGAAGGCAAGTCTTTCGCATGAATCTGATGTTTATGACCGTGGAGCTAGACTGAAAAGATAGGCACATAAGAGTAGATTCCATTTATAGGATATAGATGAGATTCATCCATTTTATCTACATGAGAACAATATTGTACGATAGGTGCGTTCTCATAAACTGGTATGTTCGCCGCCACTTAGCTCGTCAATGATTTCTATGCGAACATGCAAAATAAATTTAACATGTAAGACAGAAGGACAGAGAACAAGCTAATAATCATGAAGCAGTTATGGAGAAGGTTGTTCTAATAGTGATAGTGATTACGAGAAGAGTCATAATAGTCAGGAAGAAGATCAATCATTTGATTTTCGTTCCAAAAGTGAAAACCGTTTTCCCTTTTTGCATTTTTTCTCGCAAAATTTTAAAATGAACTTTAGTCATGATTATACTTTTCAGTTTATTACTGGGCTTATGTGTTCTTTTGAGCGTCAAGATGTAAATATTAGTCATAACAAAAGGGTACTTCGTTATTGTTGACACAAAATATAAGTATCAATTGAATCGAAAGAAGCGAGAAAAGAGCGAAAGACAGCTGGTCCAAGAAGTGTATCTTGAAAAAGTAGAGCATTTCGAGCCGACTAAGAAAATGTACTTTTTAAGTTTTCAAAACTTTTCTTTTTGAGGATGAAAAAGGAGCTAAAACGTCGAAAAATCCTTCAAGTTCAAAGGAGCTGAATATCGGAGCCTCAGAGAACTATACAAATTTGAAGATATCTTTTTCGTATTCAGCATTGAAACTGAATAGAAAAATTGTGTTTGATCAATTTCGTAGTTAAACTTTCGCTCTTTTCTTTTCTTCTTTCGATGCAAATAATACTTATATTTTGTGTCAACAATAATGAAGTATCCTTTTATTATGACAAATATTTACATTTTTTCGATCCGAACTAAACTTTCAAGCAATAAAAATCTCATATTCGGAAAAAATTTTAAATGAACTTTAGTCATGATTATACTTTTCAGTTTATTATTGGGCTTATGTGTTCTTTTGAGCGTCAAGATGTAAATATTGGTCATAACAACAGGATATTTCATTATTGTTGACACAAAATATAAGTATTATTTGCATCGAAAGAAGAGAAAAAAAGAGCGAAAGACAGATAGTTCAAAAAGTACATCTTCAAAAAAACATAGTGTAATAAAAAAGATAGGCTGATAAGTTGTGCTCTTGTATTAATCATCCGTAGAACCGTAGCACTTAGAAAGAAAAAAATAGACGTTAAAAGAGTTAAAAGTATGTTTGATCATGACATACAACACGCTAATAATGCTAAAGATTTCGAAATGTACGTACAGAAAGTTTCACATATGTAATTTGTAGACCTACCAATTCTTCTGTTTAAAACGCAATTTAGAAGTCCCGAGAAGTTACACGCTAACATAAAACTTTACTCTTATACTAATCCTGCTCTCCCACTCATTGTAACTTGTTAGCCTCTCTGCTAAGCGTAAGATCAAGATCAGCTTAAAATTTTTAACCTTGTTGGTTGAAACGGTGGGGTGTCAGAATGAGGCAAACTAGGTCTCGACAGTATTTTTAAAGAAGTATATTTTAGTACGTGGAAATCTTAGTTTGGCTGTACGACTTTCCAGATGATGCAATCCTGAAAACTCGGGTGAGGTTTAAGATAGAGTTTGAACCTACAAACTGCGCACAGTTAGAAAAGTTTTACAATTTCGGGGACGAAACCGGTGAATTTACAAGGAAACTTTCCCAAGTGTCAAATTGTTTCACTCGAAACATAATCTTTCTACTGCACTTTTACCTTCGTGATTGTAGAAAACGCAAACATCGTGACTCGTTCGCTGCAGTAACAGTTTTATATCTCCATGTGATTATGTTCTGCAGACTTGGAACTATGTTTATATTAATAACTCGGCAGACTCTACAAATCGACCATATGCATATTCAATCTTTATTTAGCACTTCAGTATGAGTTTCTAGAAACCCGGTGTTCACTGACTGAGTCTTGAAAGGCCTATGAGGGAAAATGGATTGTAGAATCGTAACCAGCATCAAAAACTGCTGTAGAAAAATTATGTTTCAAGCAGAAAACGATTTCACATTTGGCGAAAAACGTTGATTCCGCCGTCTAAATTTGCCAACTTTAAACTCTTATAACTCAGCAACGACAGATTACTTAACCTCGGAGATTTTACTATAAATAGTAGATAGTGTCTACTACAAAACCACGCAACCGCGAGCTCAAAACATGCTTTCGTTATTTTGTAATACATGGTGTACTAAGGACCCATTAAAATTTCATAAAAATTAGTTCGATATACAACTTTTCGCAAGGAAGTCAATGGTAATACAACAACAAGTTGATTCTACTATTAATACGGCCCTATATGCCATGTAGTTGACACTATCTACTATTTATGGTAAAATCTCCAAGGTTCAGTAATCTGCTGTTACTGAGTTACAAGAGTTTAAAGTTGGCAAATTTTCTATAGAAAAGTTCCGAAAAACGTGCACAACCAAATGTCCACAAACCAAACCAAAACCACACAAAACCAAAAACGTGTATCTGTAGATCCACGTTTTTCGGGACTTTTCGTAAAATTTCAATATCTCAGTAACGATACAACTATTTGACTTGCGCCTTTTGCCAAAATTCATCAAGATATTTGGTCTAAAAGAGCCCCCTAATTTGAAAAGTTTGGAAAGCGTCAGTTGAAGAATGTCGGTCGTGGCTTACCTGCAATGGCTCTTAAGTATGAGTTTCTAAGAAAGTGATACAGGTACGAGGTGACTCACTTCCGAGCTGGCTCATAGACTTCCGCGGGATGTTTGAGCTTCCTGCTCATCGTAAACCTTTTTCTGCACGGCGCTTGTATCTAGGCTGATTCTGTATGACGAGATGAATCGAATGATATATGATAAGAGGTATTTTGCCTTAAGTTTATTTAAGATATTTTGCCTGATTTCATAATATGGGTGAATCTATAGCATCGTTCATACTCGAGAAATAAAGTTCCACGTAAACTTTTTCTGGGGGTCTCGCTTAATTTCAGTAGTCCATATTATGACAAAAATAGTTTTCCAGATAGTTCTTTTCATTTTTATGGAAAATGTGGTTTTCTAGAGCCGAGAGAGTTTTCCTTACAAACCAGGCTTCAGACTTACGAGGGAACATATCTAACTGATCAATCGCTTTTTTCACCAAACCTAGTGGGTTATAGGTTATCGACCCCGCTGATTCCGAATATCCATATAAGACGGGCTGCTAGGCCTCCCTAAAGCGGTTTTCTAGAAAACTGGTTTTTCAGAATCACCGAAAAATATCCCAAAACTCTCCCTTTAAGTCACAATTATAGGCCACGAAATTATGACCAAAATGAGATATCTCCGATCGCTACGCGACCTTTCCTTGCGAAGTTATAGAATTTACAAGAAAAGGCCTAAATTTTCATTGTCAGCTCAAAGCTCGGCTTGTCCAAATGTTACGGAATTATTTTTTTTCAACTTTCACGTGCCATAACTTTTCTGAGAGTGATCCGAATGCAATGACGGTTTTACCAGAGGTAGACAGTACCGAGTTTTATCACGTCCGAAAATTTTGTTGAATTTGGATCATCCCAGAGGGAGTTATTAACAAAATAACGGCCGTTACGGAATTACTTTAAAATGGACTTTTTTTTCAGTGAAGTTTTACATTTTTCTGCTCAATGAAAGCTTTTCTTGAGATGTGTTCCGAAGCAAAGTTGTATAGCTTGAAACCAGCTTTTAGAATATCCACTTGGTTTTCGATTAGAATCACTAGATGATATAAAAATTTGAAAAAACAGCTTTACAGCTTTTTTGGGTTCTTTCAAATCAGAAGATTAAACTCTATTACAAAAGTGGTCATAGAAAACTATTTCCGATAGCAGTAGACAGTATCTGATCTGATCTTTCCGATGCATCGTAGAAAAGCGTTTAAAATCGTTTGGACTTGGAGAAAAACCCGTTTCAAAACTTTGTCTTTCGAAAAACCAACTTTCTTGGAAAGCACCTAAACTCAAAAATAAATACACCATCTTGTAAAAATGCCATACCTCTTAATTTTTTTAATCGAAAACACCTAGGTCAGGAAATTAAAAATAAAATTTGGATTTCATTTTTTGAGGTCAAAATTTAATTTTTTGGAAATTTTAAGTTGATATTCGAAATCAGCTTCAAAAACTGAGCTTCAAAAGCGATATAAGTTAGATGTCCGCTGAAATATGACAGAAACATTTTTCATAAAGTGACAAGACATTGAGCGTGAAAAATCACGTTTCTCGAAAATCTTTTCTATTTTCAGTCCGAAGAAAGATGGTTAAAAGTTCTTTCTTACTAAAAGTGATCTCTTCTATCCGACTATCTTTCGCTTATTTTAGATAAGGGTCAACTCAAGTGTTTACTGAATAACGACTATGAGTTGATGATGGGACAAAAAAGCGCTGATGTTTCTATCACAACATTAATTGCGCTAATTCTTCCAAAAACTGTATGAAGGGCCGTTAATTCTAGTGTATATTCTAACAATTTCGAGCTACAAACTGGTAAAAAAGGAAATCTTAAATGCGTCAAGAATTAGAAGAAAATTTTCATTTCATTTTATACTGAGAATTTTTTCAAAAATTTATAGAAATGCGTCAAATGGTAAAAGCTCGAATCAGAACGGATTTACGCTAGTCTTATAAGATTTGTATCTAATTCTAAAGCCTGGTTTGTAAAAAAGATTTTCTCAGTTATATACATTATTTATATTTCAATAAAAGTCTGAGGATTTTGTGTTTATTTCTAGCGCAAGCACGTTTTCTACGAAAAATGAAAGCAATTGCGTGGGAAAATGAGTTTTTGTTATTACTAGGCTATCATAATTCAGTAAAATTGTCGAAAGAAGGTTCGAGGAAAGTTCAAAATTTAAGTTTTTTTCATATAAATCGTACAATGATTATACATGTCGGCCATGTAGTAGTTGTTTCATTTTATTTTGAAGGAGAGTCGAAGACACTAACGCTGAACAGTTAGGTCAAATAAAAATGAGTGACATAAAGCCAAGTAAACGGAATATTCGAAAAAACTTTTATGTTATATGTTTTGCTTTTCTATTACTTTATACATCGTTACTTGCTGTTTCAAATTTACAGTCTAGTATAAATACTGAAGGTAACATTGGTTTTAACTCATTGGCTATATTATATGGTACATCAGCTTTTGCTGCAACATTTTTACCACATCCTCTTACAACTATATTTGGTTATAAATGGACAATTTTTATTTCTCAAGTATGCATTGTAGCTCATATAGGAGCAAATATATATCCAAAGCCATGGCTAATGTATCCGAGTATGTAATCGTCTTCCATGTCATTGGCATCTATTGAGAAAGTTAACCATCATTTTCTTATTTTCTTTCTCTTAGCGAGTGCAATAGCCGGCGTATTCAAATCAGCTCTTTGGACAGCACGATCAGCTTATGTGACAGAAAGTAGTTTTCTATATGCTGAATACATAGGAGAACGAGGTGAAACAGTTGTAAACCGTCATTTTGGAATATTTAATGCCCTATTTCAAACCAGTAAGTTAGTAATTACTGACGGGGAGTTTTGGCAGCGTGTTGTTTGTTCTATAGTTTGTAGTTGTTGCTACGACAGCTATGCGATATCAGAGAACATCAGAGGTGATTTTTTGAGGGCCTACCATCTGTGAAAGCGAGCTCTGAAGTAGAAGAGTGCCAGTTCTTAGATTTTAAGAACTGATGACCGGTTTCAGTTCGTAGTAAACATGGAAATGGTATCGACCAGTTCTTTTTAAAAAGAATTCATGAGTTCATCGCTTCTTATGGATTTCTGACTAAAACTCGCTCGGTGTATGCTGGACTTGTAAAGGCTTAGTGAACATTGAAGTTCTTTGTTCAGAAAGTTTTTTGCCGATTCCACTAAACATTTTTTGGTGGGAAAATATTTATTGCAAACAAAATCCTATTTTCCGTTTAGAAATATTAAGAGAAACCATTCTTATCCAAAATTTTGATTGAAAACTTTAATTGTTTTTAAAACTTGACTCTGAATACAATCTTTTTTTCTTACAAATAGGTCAAATATGGGGAAATCTGGTTTCATACCTAGTTCTACGAAACTCAGAGAGCAATAAAAGTCATTCAAATGCATCAAACGAACATCATTGTGGTGCAAAATTTCATGCTCACAAGTCTCCGTTAAGCGGCTCTCGAAATAACATTACAACGACTGTGGTTAGTATTTCTGGTGATATCAGAGAGCGCTCACGAGACGTTCGACCATTTTTCTCTAGGGATATAAAGCGTAGACACAAAACAGGTTCTTTTTATATTGCAGTTTCGTAGCTTTACTCAGATTACTAACAAATACGAAATCATAGATCACCCCACCGGGAGATGTCTATGAGGCGCACATAGAGTTAGAGTTTTTGTGCTTTGTAGCGCACTTATAGAAGAAATATCTCTGTTTTGTATGTCACTTTTTTTTCAGACAGAAAGATAAGTCTATCAAAGACGACTCAATAATATGATTCTAATAGTCACAATAATGATGCAAGAATAGTTTATTCAGCAATCCCTTCTGTTTCTTTCGGAAAACATCTGTTTGCCAGGAAGAAAATCAAATTGCTGAGCTTATTGCGATGCAAAATGTATAGAAAGAACTTGAAAAAGGGTTTTCTTAAACAACAGCCGGTAGGTCTCGACGAGATCTGTCTAATGGAAATAGCTTGAATTCATTTGAAAACCGTTTATTGTGGTAGTGAGCAGGAAGATGAATATTCATACTGCGGACGTTGAGAAAGCATCCGCTTACATTCGATTTAAAACTTTTGATATATACAGACATACTTGTCGAAAAAGACATATCGAACGGTATGCAATAAGTATAAAGGATATGGTCTATTTAGTTGTCTAAAACTTCCAAAATAAAGATTGTTCAATGCAGTTTTTAACAGTGACTACAAATATGATGTTGGTTTTAAGAAAAAAAATGAAATTTGATGGCGAAAACTGCAAAATATGAGTGCATTTCCTGGATTTTTCTCGTATTTGAATTATAATGGATTGAGCCAATGATATGTAGACTTTGTTTACTCAAAATACTGTAGAGCTTTTGAAGAGCTATTTTTCTATACTAAAGACTAGTTGATCCTCTCTTACTTATGGGAGAAAATGGGAAAATATGCTCACTCAAGCATGATCACTAAATAGGTGATGCTTGAAAATAAATTTTTCCTTAGTATTATGGTACGTAACTATGGTCCATACACCATTTTATTCAGTTTTTCATTGGCTATTTTTCTATATCAACCACAGTTTGGGTTCTCGTTTGCATATGGAGACAAAAGTACTCAAAACATCGCTGTTTTTTAGTGGTGAACGGTGGAAACATATATAATGATTACCCATTTCAAGATTTAAAAATACTTGTGTTCGACTATGCCCGAGGTGCTCTTTCCTTTGAATATATACTGGTTCGAAACCCGGAGTTAGTGGAACCGACTGTATCCTTTCTTGCATTTTTCATAGAGATATAACCGATTTATCTTTGTGAGTGAAAAGTTTCACTGGGCATGAAAGGGTAAAATAATCAAGAAGAAAGATTGAGTAATTGTAGAGATAGAGAAAAATGCTGTTGAAGAATTGACCGGATATTTCGTGCGAAGATAATACTTTTTCAAAATAATTACTCTTCTATTTTATTTTAAAGACGAGGGTTTAAATTTCTGTTTTTTATCAAAAGATTTTTCGAAATGTGCTCTGGATTTTCGTTTTTTCAGAAGGGCTCAACTCAATATCTGAGTAAGTTATCTGCTTTCTAATTAAGCAGACAAAAAACACGGACGTGTCTATCGCGCCATTATTTGAACTGATTAGCATAAATGCATGAGAAGGTCTATCTAGTGATTTAGATATTTCAAGAACCACAGATGACTATTATTATATAATCACAGAGAAAGAATTTAAAATATTTCTCATCTTTATAAAATTTCATTTTTTTTTGATTGGTCGCATCAAATTGATATGTGCAACAGTAAAAGTTTTGTATGTCGAGAATGAAAGTATATAAAGCGTCAGTTTTTTGAGAAGTGAATATCGAATGTTAGATAAACAAAATAAAAAAGAAATTGTTGGTATCCGTTTTGTCAATAACAAGTTATGGACTTTTTACGTTCTGGAAATGAGTAAAACAGTGGCAATACGTTTCATTCATACAACATATGCAGCACTTGATGCTGTAAAGCATTAAATGGTTAGAAAAAGTTTTAAGATCGAAACAGTTTCCCACTAACAAACTAACAGCTATTGTATAATGAGATGACACTGATAGAAACAATGTTTATTAAAATAATTTAGCTTTACACTCTTTATGGAATTTTTCTTGGTATTGCAATAATCAGTACTATTGTTGTTGCATTATTTCTTGATCAAAAACGAAAATTAGTTCGCCGTACGTATTTAGTAAAAATTATTATATTTTTAAATTAAAATATTTTTCCATATACTGTGTTTTTTGCTTTTTGAACAGGCGCCGGTCTTAAAGCCACTATTCGTGATTCCAGTCGACATCTTCTTTCAACTATCAAACAAATGGGCAAAAGAAATCAATTACTATTAATACCATTAAGTTTATATTTTGGATTTAATCAAGCCTTTTTGTTTGGACAATATACACAAGTATGTGTTTAAAATCATTTGTGACATTGAAGTAAGTGATTTCTGTTAAACTAATGGTGTTATCCATCCAGTGAGGAAAGTTTACTTCACTGATAGAAGGTTCACTTCCATTACTGGAATAAATGAACAAAATAACTGTTGATAAAGCAATGGAGAACCTGATACGCCCTTTCAACGTCTACAAAAACCATTCCTACTCATATCAAGAACACTTAGTCATTCATTATTTTTTTTAATTTTTAGAGTTTCATTACTTGTACGCTCGGTGTTCATTTTGTTGGTAAGAGACGAAATTTTGAGCTTCCATTGGCGCTGACGTTAATTTATAAGAATAATATAATTTATAAAAGTAGAAAATGATAAGCTTAGATTCGAATTTCTGCTTAAAAATGAAAATCATTTATCCTAGCCTTCATTTCTTAACAACGAATTGCAAAGCTAGTAAATGTGGGAAATGGCCATGGTGGGTACCCCCACCAACATGGAAAGAGATGTACGCGTCGATCTCTTTTGGCCTTCGTTCCATAAATTATCGCACATACCAAAAAACTTTCAAAACTAGCCCCGTTCAACTCTTGTAAAATGCTTCAAAAAATTTTCTCTATAGCAGAAAACGTTTTGTGCAAAAGGCTTTTTTCATGGCGATGTAAGAAAGTTTTCATAGATTTCGGTCCTTCTCTCTTATTGTTCCAAACAAACCCTACGATCGAGACTGATCTGGCATATCTCTGAGGTCTACTGTTCTCGCCAAAGAACCTTTGTGCCTTGACAAAGAGAATAGGCTTGGGCATGTATTGTTCATAGGAACGATAATAGGCTGTAAATGTATGGTAAATCTGTAGTTCTGTTTAGTTTCCTAGATGCTGCGATGGAAGCACTTTCCTGAATCTTGTCTGTGATGTACTTATTGAAGAATATGCTTAGAAGGAGTTTGAACTTTATTACTACAAAAAGTACACTAAATAAGCTTTTCTCAACTTGGGCCAAGTTTTACATGGTCCGGGACGTAGTTTCGGTGGATTATCTTCCTCCACGCAAACTTTCCAGCCCGGCAGAGACATACGCATATAGGTTTTGCAGACCAGTGGCTAATAATAAGTGGTTTATTCACTATAACGATATCTGCTTCGTAGGGGCGAACCATAGCAACGGATGAGTTTCATCTTTATGTACGAGCTGTAGGGCAACAAGCTCTTTTTTTATAGGATTAGTAATGATTGGGTTTGGTGTATGTGATTCAATAGCTAGTTTTACAGTTGGATATTTGGAAAAATATGCCGGGCGATTATTTTGTTTTATATTTGCTGCAATAGTTAACTATTCATTACTTATTACAATGATATTATGGGGTCCGGCAGAGTCACAAACATATGTTATATTTTTGATAGTAGCTGTATGGAGTCTAGCGGACGCAGTATGGCAAACAACTGGTTGGGGTCAGTATAAACAACAAAAACATCTCGTCTGCCTAGACAGAAGAACACATATAACATGGATCTCTTCCAGAAATGAATTCGAATTGCATATAGCTCTGATGACCCTCTCTTTTTCGAATTTTTTAATCTTATTTTAGCTATCTATGGCACATTGTTTACCAAAGATGATGAAGCAGCTTTTTCCAACAGGGCTTTATGGGAAGATACTGGTTACTTTATATTCTTTTTATATGCATCCACCATTGTTGTACGTACATCACTTATTCTCTTATTAGTTTATTTGACAGTATCAATGATTTGTTATGGTATTCTGGAATTACTTGAATATAATAAACGAAAAGTTCAACCTGTGCGTGAAGAAACAGTGAATTAATTTTATGTAAAGATAAAAACAAACTGTTAATTTTTCGTTTCAAGTCTACTGCGATTTTTACTGAAATAAAAGTAAAAATTTGTCACTGACTAACCAGACGTATGTTTTACATAGAACGGTATTAAAACACCGTTTAATGATAACTTTCGGATTCGCTAGTTTTACTTTACACGCCGTAATACGTTTCTTCAGCAGATGAGCGTTTGCCGCGTCATTGTATAGTTCGTGTCGGAAACAAAAAGAAATCATTAACTTTTCTCGCCTGAGTAGATTAGCTTAAGTTCATTTTTTTTTCGTTCCTCTTACATTTGCCTACTTTGGAAAAAACTCAGCTTATTATCTGATATCATCGTAAAGATACGGGAATGTACGGCAGATACATTGCCGTACATGCTGGGTTCTTAGTGTCATCAGTGGAAGAAAAAAGGGATTTTCTATGTTTTTGCGTGATAATATACCACTGGTTTCTTTACAACTTTGTGCCGAAGATGTTGGGCTTTCAAAATATATAAGTGAATTAAAGATCTAGATTCGAATTCGATCAGTTAATGATTTTACACACATTGTGGTGCTTTCTGTTCCGCTCTCTAAAATGTCGTGCAGCTCACCAAGTATTTAAAATCCTTACTGAATATACCCCTGGCAAAAATAAGTTTCCCTCTGTATTTTGAGGATATTGTTACCAAACGAACATATTTTTTAAAAAGTAACGACATATTCGGGAAGCCCGTGAAATTTTACATCTTTCTGTATATTTATATTTTTGTTCGGACGGCTGTATAAAAAAATTCTTCCAATGAAGTATACATACCTTTAGTACTCCATTTCGATATACCTAATACAATCATTGACATCTCGCATAGTTTTTCAAATTTTTTTCGATAGTAAAAATAAGCTTTAAAAAATGTAATCACATGTTCTGATAGAGCTTGAAATTCTCTATCACCCTATATATTTATATATTGTCTTGCATTTACTTGCTGGGAAAAAATTTGAATACAGTAAAGGAAACCTACTTTGACAAGTACAAAAATGCACTACTTTTTAGAATTTTTCAAATTATTATTGCTATGGAAATAAATGTTTACAAAAGTAAATATAGACTCTGATAGCCCGTAAAATTCTCTATCATTCTATGTATTTATGTCTTGCCTTGCATTTATCTGCCAGAGAATAATTCAAATATTACTTAGGCACCCTAGTTTGCAAACCTAAATAACCAGACTTTCTACTATCTCTTTGGTTTTTATTTCAGATTTATTATCACTATAGAAATAACTTTTTGCACACGCAGTTATATGTTCTGATAGCGCTTGAAATTCTCTATTATCCTGAACTTTTGAACTTAAAAACGAGAAAGATAGTAAAAAAGTGCAGTTTGTTAGAGTTTTTCAAGGAGGGTGCCTAAATAATCTCGGAATTAGTCTTTGTCAAAGACTCTTTGACAAATAAGTGCAAAACAAGACACAAATACATAGAATGATAGAGAATTTCACGGGGTATCAGAATACACAATTACTTTTGTAAAAAAGTGTTCTTATAGTTATAATAATTTGAAAAAAATCCTGAAGAAGTAGCGAAAAATATGCACTTTTTT